TCCATTGAGAACAAATTCGATGTATGAGGTCCAAACAGTCCTTTATAGTACTCAGTTACATAATTTTTCAAATTCCCATCCCCAACAATCGTTCTTTCTTCTTGTTCTAGCTGGACAATTTTTGTTTTCCTGTGTCTCCCATTTGCCACTAGATGGAAATACTTAGTATTATCATCCCCTTGCAATAACTTTGTTGCTTTTGATCGTTGGAGCCAATAGATCTTCTCCTCTCTCAGCAACTTAGTTAATTGCCCTTTGAGATGATGTCTAAGTTCCATCTCTTGAGGTGACAACACAATTGTCTCTACCTTTCTGTCCAGATCATCTATCTTAGTCAAGAGGTTAGATTTGTGTTTCTTATTTTGTGAAGACAAATTCCTAGCCCACCCTCTAAGGAAACGTCGCAACCTTCTAATTTTATTTTGCCATTTCTCTATGGGTGACTGACCCCTATTCTCATATTCCCAAACCTCTTTGACCAACCCAAAGAAACCATCTCTTGTTAGCCACCCTATCTCGAACTTAAAATTCAAAACATTGCCTCTGTGAGATGGCTCATCACTATCTAATAAAAGAGGTGTATGATCTGAGATCTCTCGGGTAAGTGCCTGGACAGAAGCTAAAGGAATTTTTTGTTCCCAATCCGTTGTTACTAAGATACGGTCCAACTTTTCATATGTTGGAACCTCTGCATAGTTTGCCCACGTATATTTCTTACCTGTTAACTCTAGCTCTCTTAAATTTAACGTTTCAATAATAGCATTAAACAAAAGAGGCCACTTATTATTATATCTTGAATTGTTTTTTTTTCCGAAGGGTTCCTAATGATATTGAAATCTCCCCCCACTAAGAAAGGCAGATCCCCACAGCTAGTACAAGCTCGTACTAACTCTGATAGAAAGTGTTCTCTGTGCTCTTCTTGTGCTGCACCATACACAGACAATAGAGCCAATCGAAAACCATCTACTTTATTTTTTATGAGAAAATTGATATGATAATCACCATCCTCTATGTTCTCTATTTCAAAACAACCTTGATTTATTCCCATTAGCATCCCCCGGACATACCCCAAGGACATCGCCAATGCCAAATAAAATCAGCCCCCGCACAAAAGTTTTCTAGACACTGAGTCAAAAAACTATTTTTGTTGGTCTCTGATAGAGCTATGAAATCAAGTTTGTTATCCTCAGCCACATCATGTAAGTGTCTTTAGCTAAATCACGCAGACCTCTGCTGAAGGACTTACCTATTTAAGCTTGCTCTTTGCATGAACAACTGGTCCGGGCAACATATATGTACTCCCATCTATCAGTGCTGCATGTACTATCACCAGTAGTTGAATGCCCATGTTTCGTTGTGGATTAAAAAATAGTCTATTTTTTGGGAATAATTGAAGTAGGTTGTTATAATTAGAAATGATGTCAACCAACCACCTCGAACCTGGTGGCTTGACTCCCTGTATAAGTTGTTATAGTTCTAAATTCACACACACACATCCCCCACCCCACCCCACACCCCCACTAAGGATAGTCTCAATAAAGAAACTACTCCGAGGCCAAGTTCTTTCATCTTCTTCGGTCATGTCCACACTCCTCAGCAGGTAGCTAATTAACCTTATAACTTAACAGATTTTTGTTGGTGTAAATAAAAGTTGAAGACTCTTACCGTGTCGGGGCACAGTACTTTGCATGTGCATCCTTATTTACATACGTTCTTTTCGACCACTACTACAGAACAAGCTAAGCAACCATTGCCAGACTATTATTATCGGTTCGTAAGTAAAAAGCGTATCACTGTCGTATTTTAAAACCAACCGAGATATTTATCACTACCAGTTGGTAAAATAACTCGGCAGTGATAGGTATCACTACCAAGTTGTTTTGCCAATCGGCGGTACTCCTAGTTTCTGGATCCGAAAATAAAATTAACTTCGATTAACTCAGTGAGAAGTTAGGTCTAGTCTCTCCCTCTCTCGACACCTCTCATTCCCTAGCCTTATCCTCTCCCCCTCCTACTCGGCGCAGCGCGGCGATGCATGGGGCGAGGTGGGGGGTGCACGGGGGCAGCGCGCTGGTGGCATGGACAGCGGGGCTGCATGGGTCGGGGAGGTCTCAAGATCTATATCCATCCTCAGTCTTCAATGGATCTATCCTTTCACTCTGTTTCTTGAATCAATGATTTAGCTTTATCTCTCTAATCGATATGTGATTTTGCTCTCTCTCTCTCTCTCTCTCTATGTGTGTATGTGTTGAATCAACCTGTGAGGACATCCGGCGGCGGTGAAGATGGTGGCCAGGCATAGAGCACGGCCACTGTGACTAGGCGGGCGGTGGCGGACAATGGCCAAGCAGGCGGTGGCGGAGATGGTGGTCGAGTTGCAGCAGCGGGCAAGGAGAGGAGCTGCATCGACGGCGTAGCTGGGTTTTTTTTTTTTACCATGTCATTTAACTCTCTTCATTTCCTACACAATACCAACGTAGATACTCATACTCTATCAAGTTGTTATAGATTATCAATTTACTCTATTTGTGTTTTCAGCCTTTACACTGCACTTATGTGAGATTTTAATATGTATTTACTCGGAACCTTAGTTTAACTTACATTAGTTCTTGTTGCATCCATTTTGTTACGTCATGAATCTATAGTTTTTACTCTTGACTTTTGATCCTATTAATTGTTGTAATTTTTTATCCAAGTTTTAACTTCAATCTCCAGTGTTTATTATATCTTTTATTTAAATTTTCTTATATTTTATTAAAATAGACTCTTGGTCCTACCCTGGTCTTAGTTATTGCATGACATAAACCGTCAGTTCAGTTTGCACCACGACGTCGAAAATGTTGAGTTTCCTCTATAAAAAAAACTATCTTGTAGTAGTATTGTTATTTTTTAGAGAAAACGTGGAGTGCTTAAAATTAAACTGCCAACATTAATATGCCGAAATATTTTATTGAAAACATTAACTTATGTAAAGCAACAACTTACAAAATTCATTATGATAGAGTTTTAATATATTCAAAAATGGATTATCAGTTTCATTGGTATATTTTATCACGATTAATAAAGTATAGAGAGATCTTTTTTTGAGAGATCTTTTAGTTTACTTTTTATAATAGCATATGTGGGTTATTAGATACAAATTAATGGGTTACTTTATATTATATTTTATAGAGACTTCGATAATTTAAAACAAATTTAGGACTTATCATTATCTTTCGTAGTGGCAGAGGTCGTTGACTTGTTCCATTGTGTACCATTGATGAAGTAATATTAATCTAGACACCAAATTGTGGGTGGGGGTGCTTGCATGGGGGGTCTATACCGTACCTTCTCGCGCATGTCCTGGGACGGCCCTAGCTAAGTATAGAGGCTTAGATGGCATTTGGATGCTCTAGTTAATCTAATCACTAAATACCACAACTATTTATGTTAGTAATAATGTTTGCGTTGACATTAAGATATTGTTTATTTGCCTAACCTCAAAAATAATAATAAAAACGCTCATACAAATGCCTCACCACCCGTCTGTATAAATGCTTCAATAGTTGGTATATTTAACTGCTCATCAATAGTCCACAGATGTGCTTGGCATGTGTGGCAGCTTTCTGAACAAAACCAGAAGCGGAAGCTGGCCATGGCCAGAGCACATGAATAAATTCAATTTCATAGAAAAAACGCAAGAACAGAAAATTTTGTCGGGAAATAAATTGGGTGGGCGAGGCACGCACCGACGCCTGCATGCACTCCCCTCCTCAATGGATGCCACGTGGAGGCCGATGGCATCGCACGCGCCGCATCTAGAGTTGGAGCCGTGGTCCTCACGTCGGTTTGCCGGTCCATCGGGGAGAGGAGCGAGGACCGCGGCTAACTCCAAATGTGGCGCGTGTGATGCCGTCGGGCTCCACGTGGCGTCTATCAGGGAGGGGAGCGCACGTAGATGTCGGTGCACCCCTAGCCCACCCAATTTATTTCCAAACAGACCCTTAGGGTGTTTTAGCTTGAGGCCTAGCTATGTTTTTTGTTTTTCAAAAAAATCGCTGGCTGTGTAATTTGGCAATGCTGCCTCCGTACCGTTTAGGTTGCTGATGCGATTGCCAAAAAAAAACATCCAAATGTGTGATATTTACAAAATAACATCCGTTGTGTCTATGACACGTGGGACCTGCTGGTCAAATTAGCATGGAAATAACCATTTGTGCGGAATTTACTTCTTGTGACAACTACATTTATCGGTTAGAACACCCATTGATAACTCGCAAGGCACAAATGCTACGAAAGGAAGATGAATGATCATCACAGTCGCATGCTGGTGCATCATGAAAAGCATCCGAAACCGTTTAAACACAACCTCGGTAACGAAAAAAAATGGTAAACGCTGCAGATGTCTCCAGCATTGTGTTACTAAATCTCAACTGTTCCAGCAAATTTGCATGCTCCCTGCCGCCACAAATCAATACAAAAGCAAAAACTCATCCTTCGAGCAGCAGATGAAATCAACGGAAGCGGGGTTGCCTTGCGCGCTGACATTTTTGGATATTACCACATTACCACATAATTCACGGTAACTGCATGTTTGTCAACTAGTGAACATAAAAAAGCAACAGCGCCGCTACAGTGCTGGCAGAGGAAATGAGTGATCATGAAACAACCATAGGCCACAGCCCACAGATCATTCAGAAATACACGATTGTGACGAACAAATTTCATAGCTGCACTCGGTGATTTTGAATCCCAGGGACCAGAGATGCAGTTTAGCTCATGTTTCCAAATAGTCCTTCTCAATGCAACACCATACCAGTTAGGACAAACTACAGCGCTCAACGAAACCTGAGTGCTGCTGGACCAAAAACGCTAAAATACCAGCGGCATAAACATCATACAGGTCCCTTAACCGACCAGTTTCAATGCTGCAGTGCAGTCGATCTTTGCTCATTGTTCTCGCTCAAGTCTCGAATCAAATAATTTTTATACACAACAATTGGAGAAACAGCCTTGTCTAATCACAAGAACGGTGGCATCCTCTGTGAAGGGGGCACAGGCTGATAGCCGTTCTCTGGGTGGCTATGCGGCATCCGCTCCCCAGCAGGCCTTCTGGTAAAACTTCCATGCGCATGGTTCTGCATAGGATTGAAGGTGCCCCACCAGTGAGACTCGCCTTCAGCAGGGATCCAAGGGAACGGAGCAAAGCCCTCCCAGCCCCATGTATATGGTCGGTCAATGGGTCTAGAGATGCCCTCAGAATCAGAAACGCTCCTGTTCACAGTTCCAGGAGCGGGAAATCCATGGGGCCCTCCAATCTCACCTGAGGAAGTCGCTGCAATGAAAGATGTAATTGTCAAGGCTCTGGGCCTAACCCTTCTAGTGCTAGGAGGGAACGGGCTGCCCTGCACAGATGAGTGCATCGACTGTTGATACATATGGCCTCTTGCACCATGACCATGGCCTCTAGTCTCTGCCACGACAGCTGGAACTGACCCTAATGGTGCCACCAAATTGCTTCCACTGCGAGGTGTTGGCCTGCAGTATTTAAACATCGTATAAGAGATAGGGGAATTTGTGATTTAACAAAGCGAAAGAAAATCAGGCAAAGATTTGTAGCAAACAATATTTCAATATAAGCTTGAACTAGCCAATGGAACCATCAAGCAGATCAAAATTTTCAGTTTTAGGGCTTTACAGCTGAACTTCAGCATAACTTAGGCAGCAGCAGCTATTAGGCACCGCCTATTTAAGGCAGGGCAAAAGTCAATTATACCATGTGGGTGCAGATGCATGCACCCGCATGGCCCAAAGCCATGAACCCCCTGGTGTAACACCTGTAGGCATGGTCTATATATAGGTGTGACACGCCAGAGCAGAGTAGGATCAAATCAGAAATTGAATCAGGGTGTTGCCCTCTCCACCTCGTCAGCAGCAAATCTTCTCACGTCCCGGCAATCCTCTTCGGTAAGGAAATCTACCGCCTCACTTCCTAGTCCGCACCGCCGATGGCCACAGGTGCGACAGTTGGTATTCAGAGCTAGCTTTTTTCAGTGTGGGTCTGGGTGTGGTGGGGGCTCCGCAGCGTGCCTAGTGTCGGTAGACCACATCTTGGGCTTCTGGTGGTGAGCAGCAGCTGTAGATTTCATTGGGATCTCGGTGGTGGATCTCAACTGGAATCCATGCGGCATGCATAGTGGCAGTGGATCATGACGTGAGTTCAAGAGCTGTGTGTGGCGGCAGAAGACAATCTCATGTTGGAGGCGATAGTGGTGGCACAGCAGAAAACAGAGGACATGTTGGATCAGACCATAGAGTGCATGGATGGGCTGTACGTCTGCTTGGCACCACGTATCAACAGATGACTGCGCATATCAATTCAGTGACCAAGGATCGTGCTCCTGACGTGCAGTGGGCGGCAGTGCAGTCGCTCCATCTAGCATCCAAGGCGACAGATAAGGTTGCTCATGACTTATATGTAGCTCTTCGATGATATGCCTCTTTGTAACGACGATGCAGCATGGCTTAATCAAGAGTTGTCATTAGCACATACCACATAGAGTGAGTAGGGTGTGAAGAAATCAATTTGATCACTGCACAAGTCACCAAAACCAAACTCAATGATGTTGATTACTCATCACCACAATGAGTTCTTGGGGTCATTGATGCAGACCAAATGTTCAAGCAAATGCCTCTCAAGGAAGTGGAAGCGTCACATATAGAACATGTTATGCCAATGTCACCGGGAATTCCTGGTATTGCTTTCTCTTGAGAACTTGCTAAAATGCATCAGTCATCATATGGGATGACAGAGGTCATCTGACATGGACCCAAAGGATGGATTACTGTTGCATCAATTAATTCACTACGGAGAGCACTTTGAGTGGTGAGGAGAACAAATCAAGTGCCAAACCTGTCATCATGGCTGTGCTCACTCATGAGTCATGATAGCAGCAACTACTTCCCATTGGATGCTGTCATAGATGTTGAGGATAATTGTTTGATGAACGACCTCTTGAGGCCAATGCAGCAGCTCAGGCTGAACTGGTCATGTTCAGGGCTCATATGGAAACAAAGGTTGCTGCAAGGGAACTGTTGAATGAAGCACCTCATGCGGATGTGTAGCATGAGAGCATGCCATTTAACAATGAGACACAGGACAACTTACTACAACAAATGGCCTGTGATGTGGCAGGGAAGACCCGAGTCATGAAACAGCAAATGTCTGCTACAGCACTGGATGCCAAAGACTTGCAAAATATCAGTGCTTGTTCTGTCTTGTTGCAGCTTGGTCTAGTCATAGTGTACAAGTCTTCCCTCTTCCTAGAACCTGGCATGGATGTAAAAAACCAAATGTTTGTGCAACTCAAAGTACTTGGCCAAGTCTTCTGTTCTACGGCCCAGGGTTTTAGTGCTGAGGAGGTATACAACATTTTTTACCAAGTGGATGAAATATTGCTGCTTCGGTGCTTCCAGAGTAAAGAGTGGGTCATGCAAACAAGAAGCTAGGTAGACCATGGTGTGACGCTGATCTAATGTTTGAAGCAATTCTGTCATGGAGAAACAGTGGTGTCAGCCCAAGCAAATGTGAGTTGCAACTCAAGCCATACATGGCGAGACAATGGGATTCTGGAATTTCTGGGCTCCAGTCATGGAGATGCAATTCATGGTCATGTCATGGGGACAAGCAACGTTTTGTGGGTGTGGAAATGTCGTCGGCAGCCACCAGAAATCTATCGTGAGAGCATCTTCATCTTCATCACGTCCCAGCCCTCACCACTGGTGTCCACGGGGTGTGACACCAAAAAGTCTGTTAAGCAAACAGCAAGGATACAGTCCAAAATGGAAAGCCCAACAGCCACGCCAACATTGTCCGCCTGGCAGAAGCCTTGCCCAAAATGGAAACACCAACATGAATGCTATCCCAATAGGCAGAAAACCTCGCCAATCTTTCTTCTAATGCTCCAATTCTGTCAATTGTTTTGATTCCCATCAAGTAGAGACTCTAGATTGGGTTTCAATCATGTGATTCTTGTTGTTTGACCAGATCATAGGGTTAGGGTTTAAAGATGGGATTTCTTGATATTTGTGTCTGGAATTGGTTTGATAGGTTTGAAAGTTGCCTTAAATACAGTGAGTCCAAAGTATATGAAAACACTGTTATGCAATCAGCCAATCGCATTACTAATGAGTAATCTAATCTTATTTTTTTGTTAGAAAAAGAAATGAAGAAAGGTATAAATTAGGCCATGGTTAATATGTATATTTCATGGATACTTGGATAGGACTAGGAGACAGCATACATACGAAAATAAAAGGTATATATATCTATTTCTGTTGGGAGTTGAAAACTGAATGATATGTTCTCTTTTCTTTAGGCTGTTGAGGATCTTGTTTTGCCTGTGGCAACTATCTTTTGTCCATGATTTTAATGTTCTCACCTTCACTAGGTACACTAATCAATATTGTTATCATGTTTCTTCAATTTGGAAACATTTTATGGTTATTTCATTCTCATTATAGATTGCTATCATTTATGTTGAACTGTTCAAAATTGTTGTTTTTATTATTATTTAGACAACATATTTTCTATACAGATTGTGCTAAAGTAGCATGTCCCCTTTGTTTTCTTCTAGCTTCACCCATGAATTGAGGTGGAGTATATGTAATTTTGTGCGTAAAATGGGGTTGTTTAGAAAGTATAAATACGAGACCATATATTTAAATGATACAAACATACTTAAATACATGACTATATATTTAAATGACAAACCTACTTAAAATGAGATTCATGAATTGCGCATACCTATGGATTAGGGGATGATGATGTGCATATGATCTCAATCTCTGTTGGCTGCCACTGTCATATCTTGGTAGTCCTATACCAAATGGAGTCATAGAATATTCAGGAATTCCTGATACAGGAATATTACTAAAATGTCTGTGCTCACTGTCATGATTTCTTGACTCGGTAGCATGGAAAACTGGAGCATGATTCAAATCAGGAGTGGCATGGCCTTCCAAGCCAGTTGAATGCCGATGAAATGAAGTGCTTTCAGCACCAGAATTAGAAGTAGAAGGCACATGAACAGGATGGAGAAAACCACGCAGGGCAAGATATGGGCAAACAAGTGAACTGCTTGCAGCACTTGAGTGATCTCCAGTTGTGTGATCTTCATAAAAGGGAAATATCAATGCAGTAAAAAAGAAAGAACTTTAACACGTTCAAGTTTAGGTCAAAATTCTTACAAGTTGGCTCAGCTTCACGCTCCCTGCAAAAGAAAATATAGGTTAAATTAAGAACTAGAATAAATGAAACATTCATTTAAGAACCTGAGGTTCCATATACAGTATTACCATAAAACAAACAAGAGCTGTTTTTAGCAAAAACATAGTAATCCGGCATTAGTAGCTAATTGTCACACATGAACCATCGGAATGGCAATTCAGAAAGCAGATGGTGATATCACGACATGTAAACATCAGACTTATACTACTGCCCGTTGAAAACTAAATGTGAGCATGTATATGGCAATTTCTACGATACTGGATAAACCAGATTATCCAGATATTTCTCATTTTCTGTTTTTTATTAATCATTTTATCTCTTTGGAAATTCAATGGTCCAGATTTATTAGAACTCTTAGCATAGCCCTATATGTATTCATTACGAATAAGACCGCAATTATGCCCAAACCACCCAACTCCCAAGCTTGAGTCCATGTTGAGAAAAAATTGGGTGTCTATTTCTTCTTAATATAAAACGCCTAGTCCTCCTAGGTTGGTTTAGTTTTATTTTAATAAATAAAGGCCCAAACCATGGCATATCTTCATAAGAGATATCTAGTGGACTGAAAACTCCAAATGGTACTAAGGGGCATGTCATACGGTTAACTAATGCATTAAATATTATAATCATCATCATCATCATGAACCATTGATGATAGCATCTACAGTTTCTAGGTTATCTTTCAGCCATAGGTAGACATGTTGAATTCATCTTGCGATTTTTGGCTTCTCATAGGTCATAGCTGTTTTCTGATAACTAAGAGCAAATAGCAGGTAATTAGTTCAATAAACCAACATACTCATTGACATGCCATATGACAGGCAAATTTTGATGTGGAACATCCAACTTACATGGATTTGCCATTTCAAACCACAAACAGACAAATTGGCCGGGTACCATTACAAAAGTATGGACCTTTGCTCGTTCACACCACAGCCATTTAAACAATCATTTTTCCAATATGAGAAGAGGGGGTAGAAATGTCCTTTTTTGCCCTCAGGTCCACTTCAGTTCTTCCTCCTTCCTCCTCTCTCCTCCTGTGTTGGTGCTTGGCAGCTGTGGGCCACCACCACCTCTTCCTTCTCGCAATATGAATCACAGCCTAGTCTGTGCTGCCACATCCTATTCGTCCCCCGGCAGCGAGTCCAAGCTGGGTGCCAGCGGCTCATCCATCCCCTTCCAGCAGTGCGCCCGATCCAGATGCCGCTGCTCGCCTCCATTCCGCGCCCGTAGGAGGCACCTCACGCACAGCCACAACCTCCCTATGCACATGCAGCTCACCATGGAAGATTCAGGAAGGGCGAAGAGGTGGAGGGGGCTTGCAGTGCTTTGATCGGTAAAGCCACCGGCGACGTGGAGCAGTCACTCGCCCAAGTGCAGACAAGAGCAGCACTGAGTAAAACCAGAGCAGCGCAGGCAGGCTAGTGTCAAGATCAAGCGTCATGCATCGACACCATCAGAGTAGCTCATGCCACCACCGCTGCGCCTCCGCCGCTGCTGCCGGAGATGTCCAGCATGGCAGCCACCACTCACCCTACCACAACAGGTAACAAAGGAGCACTTCTGGGACTGTGTACATAGACCTTAGCAGCAACTATGTGGCTCCACCTTAGCTTCCAGGAGGCGACAGCACAATAGCAGATGAAATAGGAAAGAGAGGAGGGAGGCCACTACCTTATCTGGCGTGAGGATAAAGACAATTGGGAATATGTCAATTCTCCCCCACCTTCTATCTCCTCAAATCAGATACATAAGTATAACAATCGTTAGGGTGTGCTACAGTTAAGAATCTTGATTTCGTAACGGTACTCGGCCAATATAGGCAAAAACAGTGTGTCGGTGTTTTCGGACCACCGACGAGTAAATTTGTATTTGCGCGTCTGGCTCGGATGGTGTGCTCAGAGGACACAAGGGTTTATACTAGTTCGGGCGGAACGTCTCTACGTCCAGTTTGCTGCTGCTCATGTTACCGACACTTGGTTTGTAGTAGGGGTTACAAACAGGCGAGAGAGGGATAGGATCCCAAGTCTCTAGTGGGAGGAGTAAACATGTGCTGAGAGCTCGCTTGCCACTCAGCCGTGTGCTCGTGTCGTGCTCTTGTGTTCGAGATCTCGTCCCATGTCGAGATCCCCCCCCAGTGGGGGGCGCCTCGCTTCCCCTTTTATAGACGAAGGGAAAGCGCGGGGAGAAGAACGAGAGAGAGAAGAAGGCTTCCAGGGTTGCCGGGTCCTTCTTCTCCTTCATGCAGAGTCCCGCCGATCCTCAGATATATCAACGAGGGCGGCTCCATGTCGCGGTCTGTTAAATCCATCGGGCGCCATCTTGCAAAGCGTCATCTGCCGGTCATGGCGTTTCTACTCCGTCTGCGACGGACGTTGTGGTGAATCGACGCTACCGCTGTCGTCGTCAGTACTAGATTAGGCGAAACGAAGACCGCACGTCTGAACCTTTATTCTTGATGTAAATCCCTAGGTATGGCCCGTCGTGACCACGGGTTACATCGAGGCGTGCCAGCCTCTTCCCTGGCGTCAAAGTTTTGACCCAGGCCCATACGCTTGGACCTGGAGTGGTTGGCGGCGGTATGGGTCCCCGTCGGACGAGACGGAACCCGCGTCCTCGAGGTCGGGCGAGACAGAGCCTGCGACCTTAGGCGAGACGGAGCCTGCACCCAAGGGGTCGGGCGAGACGGAGCCCACGGCCTCGAGGTCGGGCGAGACAGGGCCCGCGGCCTTGAGGTCGGGCGAGACGGAGCCCGCACCCAAGGGATCGGGTGAGACGGAGCCCGCAACCAAAGGGTCGGGCGAGACGGAGCCTGCACCCAAGGGGTCGGGCCAGACGGAGCCCGTACCCAAGGGGTCGGGCAAGACGGAGCCCGCGGCCTTGAGGTCGGGCGAGACCTTTTAATACGTCTCGAGCCATCCGGTGAAGTCAGCGTGGGCGCTAACTTCCTTGCTTTGGTTATCCCTAATACCGATACCCGACACAGTGTGAAACAGCATATACTCCATCCGATCTGGTATATTAGGCAGAGGCAAAAAAATCACAAAACCAAAACATACATAATGACTAATGTCGGGTGCCACGCTACGACTTCGGCATGTATGTAGCGCTACGACTTCTGCATGTATGCATGCATGCCGCGAGCCTGGCCTACCCCACACCCCGCTCAAGGAAACGCACGCATGCAACAGAGCTGGACGCTTCTCCAGCTGAGTTAATGCACACAGAGATCAAAGCAACATGCCTAATAAAATGGAATCATGATTTTTGCTGTGTCGCCTAATAAAATGGAGTGGAGGGAGTACCATCTAAGCTCAGTGTCCCACATCAAAATTTTCCTATGGCAAAATAGGTACTCTCTTTCGAAAGTAAGACTGTAGGGAGTACCATCTAAGGAAGAGGGCATCCTCATTCTTGCTTCACGATCATTGAAAACATGATGCAAAACCATCCAATCAAAGGTAAGGAGAAGTACTTACTCAAACACAGATGCTAGCTGGGTGAATCCACTAAAGGGGCACCATTGAAATCCAAAAGGCTGTGAATAAAGACAACAGGATAATGAGAAATAGGAAAGGTTAAATTATGACAGGTAATAATGATGTACTAAGACTGCAAAATGTGTCTTCTAGTATTCCCTCCTTTAATTTTTATAACGTGTAGTTTGACCATTCAAGTTCATGCTTTGACCAACAATTAGTCCAATAACATGAGTCATGTGCCACAAAGATAGTGTTAGGTTCGTATTCAAAATTATTTGCTGATGAATATGAATTTATGATACTGTAACTCATATCAATAAAATATTAAGGGCAGACCCAGTGCCAGAGGCTCCCACATGAGTGGGGTCTGGGGAAGGGATAAACCGAGACAAGCCTTTCCCCCGCAAGATCTGCGGAGAGGCTGCTTCGAACCCACGACCTGGTGACTCAGTGAGACAGCTCTCACCACTGCACCAGGCCTGCCCTTCATATCAATAAAATATTATAGGGAAAATTTACAGTCAAAGATCAATTTGCCTAGTTAAACTACTCCCAGAAAAGAGGGAGAACAAGCTACCAAAACATTGTAAGCCAGCAGCACTATAAGTCTATAACACATGTTCTAGTGCCTATAGTACAAACTAAAAAGACGACTGCTCATGAAGCAGAATCAACAGAAATGTAAGTTAGTACTTGTATGACATAAATGTTTATTTACTCAAATATGTGCACTTACAAGCTCGGAGGTGATATCATAGTTGTCGCTAGTCACCCAGCCACCCATATCAATATCAGCAGAGGGGCGATGTCCGCTTGCATAAAGCCAGCGACCTTTCTCAATCTTCCGACAATTAGGGCATTGCATCGCTCCTTTTGCATTGAATGCGGACCCAATACAATCTGGCAAGAAAAACGTGTTTAGTTCAGCAATCAGCCTAAGATATCATAATGTATTTTTCATGCTCACGTTCATATAAACGCACAGGGGTGAGGGGACAGAGACATTCTTGGAGATAAGATAAAAAAGCAGATGCGACAACAAATTGTGCTGATGGTATTCAAGGATTCAAGTTGAACTAAACTTTGGTGCTCGACAAAATTTCCAGGTGCAGTCAGTACTTGACACAAGAAGGTGTGGCCTGAATTGGAAAAGCAAGCCCCAAAGGTCCGAACCTTTCATGTTGTCACTAGGCAAAAGCCGTTATAGACCTAATAACTAAGCTAAATTGCCACAAGCAACTGGCCAACCGCTAGTGAAACAACCTAAATTACCGCTACATTCAAGCTTACGGATTCGCTCGTCAGACCTGGGGCTCCAATTACGCGGGAACGGCTCTGCTTACCTGGTTACTCTTACACGTGCAGTTCCCATCCCCAACCTAAATTACCACTAAATTCAAGCTTACTGATTTGCTCGTCAGACCTGGGGCTCCAATTACGCGGGAACTGCTCTACTTACTCGGTAACTCTTACACGTGCAGTTCTCATCCCATCATCATCATCATCATCCGAACATGTATGTGCCTAAATATCCCTGTTGTTCAAGTCTGAACCACGTCGATGACGCTATGAAATCCTCAAAATCTACCCACCAGAATTCCTCTCTTACAGTAAATTACGCCTGTTCCACGGCAAATTGCGCCCGTGGCGCACGGTACCCGACCAAAGCGACCATCACAAGCAGATCCGGCTGATGAAACCCCGTAGCCTAGCAGCGGCGCGAGGGAATCTGACCTAGGTGGAACTCGTGTCCGCATTGCAGCTTGGCGACGGACCGGCCGGCGCCGCGGGCGAGCACCGGATCTAGGCAGATGGAGCAGGCCGCGGCCCCGCCCCCGCCGCCAGCCACTGCCGCCTCCGCCGGAGACGCCGGCGGCGACCTCTCCAGATCCATCTGCGCGCGCCCCCCGCTCCGCCTGCTGACTCTCTCTCTTCCTCGCCGCGGAGGCGCTCGTGGGGGTGGGCCGGTGGGGGACCGCGTGAGCTCGCACGGGAAGGACAGGACCGGAGAGAAAAAATTGCTAAAATGACTTCAACTCCTCGATGACACTCGGCGGATGACAAGTGGAGCTATACGTGTCACGACCCATGTTTTTTACAAATCGCCCGACACTAGAGGGGAGGAGAGAGAAACGAGACGGTGTGCCCGAACGGAATGGAATGGAAGGAGGGTGGAAGACGGGAAAATGGGAGAAGTGATCGAGAAAAAAATGGACGGTGCTTATTGGCCTTTTTTATGCTGGTTTTTTTTACCTCGCAAATGTTTTGGCATGTTTTTGTGACGTGGGATGTCCGTGCGTAGTGGTTGTATGTTTGCTGGTGACACTTGTCATGGTTTGTTTTTAGGGACAGGTTCGTTTTTAGATTTCTGTTGAGGGGATCATGCGCGCACAGGTTTTATTTCGATCAATAAACAGGCATGTGATCAAGTATTTACTCCTATGTCACATGCCGAATTTTATTATTTAGAGACATCTATTACACGTGGCATTCCATGTACAGTCTACTAAGCAAACTTATATAAGGATGTAAATAGCCTCACTTGAGTTCATCCCACGCATTATCCATCCCCTTGTTTTGTTTCTTGATAGCCAAAAGGCATTATGTGGTATTTTTTTCAATATAAGTGGGTTGATAAAACATTTTTTGTCACATTAGTTGCCAAATTTCATATATTTAAGTTCCATAATGGTCCTCTCCTTTTTGCAAATGAGAGCTTCGTTTTAGGATTACGTTGGAGGCATCATGCGTCCATGCATAAGCAGTGGTAGATCTATGCATAAGCGGTGAGGCCACCCGTTTCCATAGTTTTTGCCAAAAATACATTTAACTCCCTTCATAGAATATAGAGTTTTATATGTTAATTGTGTAATGTTTGTATTAATTAATTGACTTAGAATCAACAAGTTTGACACAACACACAAGCTTTGAATCCTTTGAGATCCACCACTGTGCATAAGGGGGTATATTCCTTCAATGACTGGGGTTTATATAATTGTTTGGCACGTCACTTACCAAATTTTATATTTCAGGACATCTTTTTTCATGTGGGGTAATATATGGTATACAATCTACTTTGGTAAACTTGTTAGGATGCAAATTGCATCACTACTTGAGTCCGTATAATATTTTCCATGATCTTGTTCTCTACATTGCTTCTTGATAGATAAACAGAAAAACAAGGTATACGAGTCGATAATACTTATGGTTAGCATAATTGCTTTGTTTTTAGGTTTCTGTTCAGGCCATTAAGTGGTACTTTTCTTGGCAAGCGGGTTTATAAAAGTCTTTGTCATCATGTCACTTTGCCATTTGCCAAAGTATATATGATTCCTAGGAACATCTTTTATCACCATGTTCGCTTAATCGTATCAGGCATGATAAAGTGTTTTTCTCTCACAACAAAACAGCATCAGCCGGTTTATAAGCCACATAAACGATCAAGCGAACATGGTGATGTGTATATATGATCGGTACAAGGCCACTTGGTATTTATAAACTTCTTCCTGTTAGGATGTGAAGTGTGTTGCTTAAATTGCACTATGTCCATGTCGTATCTTGGTCATAGTTACCAACATAAGCTCATGACAATCAGCCCTTTCCGTGGGCGAGTTATTCTCATGACAATCAACTCTTTCCGCGGGCGAGTTAAGAACTCTTGCATAACGATCAACTCTTGTGCATAGTGTCTTGTTTTTGTTTTTTATTTATTGGGTATTATAGTAAATTTGGCCGACATTGAGTATTGAAAACCAAGTGAATAACTGTTAAAAGACTCGTTTCGAAACAGCATTTTGAGGATTTAGATCTTACTCCGTACAAATAAAAACAGTAGTTCGCTAAAAAAGAAAATAAATACAGTAGTTTACAGCAGTGCAAAGTTCAACCAAACAAACAGGCCACTGCTTATGCACGGAAAAATGAATCTCTGCGTCCAAACTCCAAACAGGCCAGTAAATTAATAGTTTACAGCAGTGCAAACAAGAAACAAACACAAAGGACTTGGTCAAGAGTCAAGTACTGTCACGCATGCGAATCACCCAAAAAAAGAACAAAACTAATGGGAAGCAGAGCCAGCACTGGTAGCCACAATTAGCTCCTCCAGCTGCTTGCTCATCCGGCGGCGAACCCTGGTGATGTACATGTCGGCGGCCCGGTCGATCTCGTCCTCGATCCTGAACTCCTGCCCGTCTCCCTCCCGGCGCCTCTGGATGACGTCGATCACCGACATCGCGTCCTCTCCGTCGTCCTCGTCGTCGTCGGCCGCCAGCAAGTAATCATCGCCACCACGGTGGTGGCCACCTTCGTCGTCATCGAACAGCGAGCGCAGCGCGAGTGTCCAGTCAGAGTCGGCGGTGCACCCTCCGTCGCTGCCGCCGTCAGCGTCGCCGTCGACTGCTTGGACGACTAGTAGCAAGATGGCGGGGAGCTGGCGGTGGGGGAAGCAGAAGGGGACTACGCCGTCGTCCTCGTCGTCCGCCGGCGCGAGGGGCGCCCTGCTGCCGCGGCAGTAGTTCCGCCTCTGCTGCGCCGCCGCCTTCTTCTGGCACGGCTGGCGCGGCGTAGTAAGCGCGCGGATGTGGCGGGATATCCCGGCGAGCACCGCGGCCCTGCGGCGCGTCGAGGCCAGGAAGAGGAGGCGGGCCTTGAGGACGCCGGCCTTCCGCCGCAGCGCGCCCACCGCCTTGCTCACGAGCTCGGCCGCCTTGCCAATGCTCTTCATGGCGGTTGCTGTGTGCTCGGTCGGTGAACTGACCAGAGGATAGAGGTGAAATCCACGACTGGTATATGGTTGGGTGTACGTACGAGACTAGCTAGGAGCCTAGGAGAGTACGAGACATCAGCAGTCAGCCAGCAGTATATGTAATTGCAGAGACATGCATGAGTTGGGTGCCTTGGCTTGTCCTTTTATAGATGGAAAAAAGATATTGAGATTTGTGCATGCGTGCGGCTGATTTCCAAATAAAGCTATTGGATTAGGTACTAAGGAACGAAAACCTTGGAGATTTGTATCGATGGACTTTGGTTCCATGGACCATGGTCACATGCATGCCAAAGTACAGAGAGATGAGATGCATGAGAGAGCGAAGATAGCCAGTTAGGCAGGCCATAAGCGAGTGGCGTGTTTCCTTGCGATTCAGAATGCACCAAACCCATGCAAGAAACAGGAGCACTACTTGTGCATTCGATCATCACGCCAGTACATACATACGTCGTCGACGATCGTGTCGTGTAATGCTCTCCATACGATACGACGCAACAGCTTAGCTTTGCTTGCTTGCATTGCCTGCCTGCACACACGATTGGATCCGTCGATGCATGCCTTTTGCTGCAGCTTACGTACGTAGCGTCGTGTGCTGCTGTGCATATGGCAGTTCGGCTCATGCTGACGACGACCACCTGCGCTACGTGTCGACTGTCGACCCACCACGGCACCACATATCTAACGCCCTGCTGCTTTGTTTGTTTTTCCTAGCTTATCTCGTTATCTGCTAGCCGTGCTTCCTTTAGTTTCGTCTCCGCGCCGGGCGTGGCCGGGCGCTTTATTTCGTTGCGTCGCCGCGTACGCGTATGTGTGGCGCACGGCCATCACAGCGCTTGGACAATTATATACACAAATTTTCGTCCTGTTATGCAGCATTATTTTTTTAGTGTTTTTCTCTTACAGTAAATCAGCATAAGCAGTAGAGCATAAGTTAAATTTTAGCGAAACGAACAGGGCACACAAGTGACAATAATTATATTGGCCTTGCTAGCGCTCGGACGTCTGATCTGAGACGCTAGCGTCGGATGGTACTCACTTAGCGAGCTAGCGAGCACCCTAGCAGCGGGCCCGCGGCGCCACGGACGTCACTCGCGCCGCTAGCCGCTAGCCGCTTCTCACGCGCATCCTAATATGTGCAACACCAGATTTACTTTTGAAACATTCATATGCAGCAGTTGCAACATACAAGAGAAGACAGATAAAACACTTGAAACATGCGTTTGAAACACTTGCAAAAATACTTGAAAACCATTGAAACATATGCAACATCCAGATGAAACACTTGCAACAGATGTATGAAAACACCTGAAACACTTCAAACATACGCTTACAACATGCATGTATATGCAACATCCAGATGAAAACACTTGTAACATATGTCTGGTACAAATGAAATATTTGGAACATACACATGAAACGTACGCATACCGCATAGCCATTACAACATCTCGATCTATTTTTGCAACACCGATACGAAACACATACAACATACCTCTGAAACATCTGAAACACATGAAACATATGTTTGCAACATGCATTTTCAGCGCAACATCTCCTTGCTGTTTGAGAATGGAGGCTCGTCGGCGTTTGGAGTTCACCGGTGTAGAGCTCTCCGCTCCGGTGGAGAAGGCCACAATAGGTCCGATGGAGAAGGCCATGATGGATCTAGCGCGAGTTGTCACCGCTCTGGCGGACAAGGCCGTCCGCGCGCTGGAGAAAGCCACGACGGACGGGTGGCGCGGTGGAGATGGAGGAAGGCGGGCGGCCGCGGTGGGCTAGAGGCGTGTTGGAGATCGAGGAAGGTGGGCGGCCACGCTCGGGCACGAGCCTGGGCCAGACACGGCCCGATCGCCCGGGCCATGTAGGGCACGACGGGCCAACGGACCGTGCCGAGGTCGTGCTTCGTGCCTAGCCATCGGCCCAGGCACGGCCCCTTGGGCCGATTTTCAGGCTGGGCTAGCTCAAAAAGCACACCACGACCACAGGGCCAGGCTAGCCCAAGGCCCACCACAAGAGGGAACGAGAGGCCGGGAGGGAAGGAGGCAGGGGCAGGGCGCCACAGGTGGTGGGACAAGCAGGGCCGAGCCGACCGCAGGCCGACCACGACGACCGCAGTAGCACCAACGTCGTTCCCGTGTGTGGCTCCAGCTTGCTCCTCATCGACGCAGGCCGGCGACGGCGACTCACCACAGCAGCAGTAGGCCACACGCCACCGCTGACTCGCTGAGGTTGGGGGCTGCTCTTCCTATCATCCATGGTCACACTGGATCTAAGAGAAATGAAGGAAGGAGAGAGAGAGAGAATGAGAAGGAAGGGAGGGGCGTCCGGGAGGGAAGGGGAGGAGGCTCACACGAACGCGCGTCCACGAGGGTCGCGTGACGTCAGGAGTTGTGGGTGCGGCGGCTGGAGTGGGAAACTAGGAATTAGGGTTAACAGATAGAAGCACTTTATATATACTTGCAGGCCTTTATCAGGCCTAGACGATTTAACGGGTCGTGGCGCAAGAACGCGAAGGAGGAAATCTTGATGAAGTGTATAACCCAGGAGGATGGTGAACGCCTCCTGGACCAAATCCACTCTGGCTCCTGCGGCAACCACGCGGCCTCGAGAACGTTGGTTGGCAAGGCTTTCTGAGCAGGGTTCTATTGGCCGTCAGCCGTAGCCGATGCAGAGAAGCTAGTCCGCCATTGTGAAGGTTGTCAGTTCTTCGCCAAGAGAATCCACGTACCAGCACACAAGATCCAGACAATACCAGCCTCTTGGCCCTTCGCATGCTGGGGACTGGATATGATCGGGCCTTTCAAACTAGCCCCTGGGAAATTGACATGCGTCTTCGTGCTGATCGACAAATTTTCCAAGTGGATAGAGTACATGCCCCTGGTCAAAGCATCTTCAGAAAAGGCCATTGCGTTCATCGACCAGGTCATCCACCGTTTTGGCATACCCAACAGCATCATCACTGATCTGGGTACTCAGTTCACCGGAAATGCTTTTTGGGACTTCTGCGATGAAAGGAACATAGTAGTAAAATACGTCTCGGTGGCGCACCCCAGAGCTAATGGACAAGTCGAGCGGGCAAATGGTATGATCTTAGACGCACTTAAGAAGAGGATGTACAGAGAAAATGACAAAGCCCCCGGACGATGGCTCAAAGAGTTACCAGCCGTAGTCTGGGGCCTCAGAACCCAGCCCAGTCGCAATACCGGCGTATCACCATACTTTATGGTTTATGGCGCTGAGGCAGTGCTCCCATCAGATATAGCCTTCAGATCAGCACGGGTAGAGAACTTCGACGAAGACAAGGCCAATGAAGCACGGGAGCTAGAAGTGAATAGTGTAGAAGAGAAGCGGCTCGATTCTTGCGTACGTACAGCCAAATACCTTGCTATTTTGCGTAGGTACTACAACAAGAACGTCAAGGAGCGGTTCTTCGTGGTTGGGGACCTGGTCCTAAAGTGGAAGACGAGTCAGGCTAGCGTTCATAAACTCGCCACCCTATGGGAAGGGCCCTTCATGATCAAGGAGGTTACACGCCCAACATCTTACAGGTTAGCTCACCTAGACGGTACAGACGTACCCAATTCATGGCACATCGACAAGCTTAGGCGTTTCTATGCTTGACTACTAAGATATGTACCCCTCTTGTACTTTCGATTTAATTCAATGAAGCTATTATGATTTCTCCAACCACTATAATGTGTCACTTCGAAGTCTGTTGTTATTCTAACTCAACCAGTTTAAACCGACCACCATTCCTTCTCGGGTTTTCGGAGCGGGCCCTATCTCCGGTTCCTCCCAACGTGTGCATGGGATCTACTCTCTACGCTACGGGTGATTGGCAGGTCCCCTCTGGTTTGACTTGTGTGTGTCTATGTGTGCACAAACTACGCACCTCACGCTCTGACCACAAGACAAACCAGGGCCATACAAACCTTTCAGGATGACGTGTCGACTAAACTGATACAACTAAATAGAACGCCAACACGTTCTAACTTAGTTACATCAAACGATATCTAAGCTTAAACACATTTTTAACAAAACAAACAAGCTTATATTGAGATATAGTTACGTTATTACAAGCTTGCCTAAAAAGGTCCAAGTTTACAATAACACAACTACATCTTCTTCTACAGCTACAGCCTACACTATTGGCGGGTCGAGGTATGCGGCTCCTGCTGCTCGCAACGCCTGATATCGTGCTTGGGTCTCTGGGACTCTGGCACTGAACGACCTAAAGAAGATGGCCCCGCCGTCGCCTGGCTGATCGAGACCGCAGGCTTCGCTGGTTGGCTTAAAAATGACGGCGCTTCCAGCTGACTTGTTGATGGCGCTCCCTGTACAGGTGGTGTCGCACCTCCACACAGGTTAATGTCACCAATTATCTTCGCCGACAAGTCTAGCTAGGTTATCCGTAGCTCCTCAGTCTTGTCTAGATCTACCTCCTTCGGGTATCCAGCCTCCAGGCGCTTGAGATCGATCAAGGGGTAGTGAGCATGTACCATGCTTAGCACATGTGCGCCTGTGTACTCACCTGCCTCCTTCACGGACTCCTAGAACCATCCCCACGCCTTTCGGCATCTCTCGATCAGTCCCAGCTGTGGCGTCCTTGGCACGCCCTCTGTTAGCGCCGAATCGATAAGGTTAAGGACTGGCAAAATGCCCATTGCCACCTCCTAGCACCGGTTTTTCCAGGTGTCACGATCCTTGGTGATCTCTTAGCACTGCACCTTCCAGCCGTCACGGTCTTTTATCATGGCCTCCAGATGCTTCTTCGCATTGATTTTTAAAACTGCAAACCGTACATGCTGTTCAGACGCTGTATTATGCCAAACTACGGTAAGCAACCAAAATGACCAAAGGGGTTTGGAAAACTTACTTTTCAGCTCCTCTGTCATCTTAGTCGTGTGGTCCCGGAGCTGCGACTGGTCGTGCGCCAGTTTTCTGTTGTCCTCTTTCAG